CCCGCGCATGAGTGACAGGGCGCCGGATAGCTTTGTCCACAATTCCACCGACAACATAGGCAGCGTTGTGATCCCATTCACCGGGTTCAAAGGCGCGTGTTGCGTTCGGGCTCAAATACACAATTCGTCTATTTCCAAGGAAGGATGGCATCTCGAGATAATGTTCTGGTCGGATAGTCCAAAGACAATTTTCAAGGCACTGGGGTCCGGAGGGCTACAAATAAGCGGGGGAAGTTGGCAGAAAGGTGAATCGTGGTAAGAAGCAAGGTAACGCGCACTTTTTACAGAGGAGTATTTGCCATCTGCCAAAAAGTTACGTAGGGGACAAGCAGAATACTAAGTTGGCAAAGTAAAAAGTAGAAACGGCTGGCTGTGGTAGCACGAGGACCATACCTTTTTACATGCCAGTATAAAGGTTACAGTGCACAAATTAAGAAAGAAAATCTGCGGATTTCCATATGATTTTTGAATTTGTTAGGCTTAGCATGCAGGATCAGAAGGACACAAACGGGTTGACGATAAAGCGGCTGGGTTACTTACGTCATTGCGTGCGTTGAATTCATTGGCGAAAAACTGATACTGATTGGTTCCTTGGAGTAAACTTGTGAGAACAAGGTGAAAGGGGAAAGGTCGCATTTGTCGGTTGTGTGCAAGGACAAGAGCCATCTGCTTAGCGAGGTTTCTTTGATCGGCAAAACGCATCTCCTCCTCGTGTGAACAGTCAAATAGGAGCATCTGTGAAGAATCTGGATTGCGCAATTCAGCGGCTAACCAGTCATCTTGGTGTGCCCTAATAGGAGCATCGCGTATAACGTGGAGGATCTGGTTTTTTTGAATGTATTCAACTTCGGACTTAGACTAGAGGAAAACAAAAGAGTATGAAATGAATTGGATTCAAATGAGCGGAAAATATTATTTTGCCAGCAGGAAGCCTAAGTTCATGATCCCTGGGAGGCTATGTATTCGAAAATGCTGGCACTGACTTCCTATAAACCAACCTGGAGGATTAAATTTTTGTCACTATGTCCGGGAAGGCGGGTTACCCGTTAGCCTAGCTGCTGGCTACCTGGCGCGTCCACAGGTGGCGGATAGTGGAAAGAGCTTCGGTCAAGGTTAGCTGTGAATTAAGCGGACTCTTGGGTCTGACGAATAAGCAGTCGCTAACCAGCAGCGGCAGTGCTACCAGGGCGTGGCGGGCTAAGGCCTGGCAAGCCAAAAGCCTATAAAGTGTCGCAAAGCCTGACGACGGCGCTGTGACATGGCGAACAAGAACCGCCATTAAATAAGTTCGCTTGCCACCGCTGCCTCGTGGTTAGGCTATTGATCCAAAGCGCTAGAGGAGACAACCTCGAACAAACAATCCGTGCGGCTGTTTGGGACCCGTCCGTACTCAGAACTCCCAAGTCACTTCATGAAATATATGTCCGATACCTGCAATTCAATCCATGCTACGGCGTCCGTGGGAACGGAT